GGTCATAAGGGTGGGCCCCTGATCTGATAGGATTAGTGTCCTTATAAGAAGAGACACCAGAGAGCTTGGGTAGTGATCCCAGAGTCCTGGGATCGAGCCCCGCGCTGGGCTCCGTGCTCGGTGGGAAGCCTGCTTCTCCCTCTCCCACTCCCCCTGCTTGTGTTCCTGCTCTCACTATCTCTCTCTCTCTCTCTGTCAAATAAATAAATAAAATCTTAAAAAAAAAAAAGAGCCAGATGTTGGTCGGAGAAAGTTCATTCTCTGACTCTCAGGAAATAGGAGGCAAGCCTGTCTATTGAAAATGAAAGAGGGATTGGTAAGATCAGGAACATAGACATCAGGGAGAGCCCACTGGTGAGGGATCGATGTCCAACATATGGGGATTCTGGAGAAGACAGGAAAACTTAGGAATGTTGGCAGCATGGTGGGCTGGGACTTCAGGACAAGGCCAAGCAGAGATGTCCCTTCCCTGAATGCTCCTTGGAATCTGCCGGACACAGAATATTGAGGCTGGCTGAGCCCCAGGATATTATTATTTTCTGGAGTCCACAGGAACACTGAGCAGCCCTCTGTTTGTAATGTAAGCAAGTAGATAGGATCTGAGTGTTGTGGATTTTACCTTGGGCTGCAGGTTGTCCCAATGCCCGAGTGAAGGTCAGTGGTGAGAAACCTCAGCTTACTAAGGGCAGGGAAGCAAGGAGTAAGTCGGGGGACATTGGAGGGCGCCACTGTGGTGGTGGAACTCTAACCCTGGTTATGAAGTCTGGGCTGTCAAAGACGGGTGCCAGGAAGAGAGCTATGCGCTCCCTCCTTCCTGGACGTGGAGGAAGCCATAGGGCAGGGATAGTGGGGACAGGGTGGAGAGAGGTGGGCTCCATGGGAGCGCAGAAAGGCGATGCCAAAGCTAAGAGAAGGAGCCCCCTAAGGAGTCTGGGAAGTGTACTGCCTGGTTGATTGATTTTGTGACCCCAAGCTCATCTCTGGCCCCTTTAATAAAACGCTGTGTGTAATTCAGTATTTGTTTTATGTTTTATAAAGCGATTAGATTAAACTGAAATTAATGTCACTTTGAGGCTCGGGAGAGCATTTTGCGACAGCCCCTTGGGTACCGGAAACCAGCGCAGGCCTCTTTCTGGGAGCAGATGCGGGTGCTGGTTAGGAATCCTGGGGTTGGGTCCTCACACCGTGTCTGGGTGGGTGGCCCTGACAAATGGCTTCACCTCTCTCTGAGCCTCTGCTCCTTCCTCTGCACAATGAGGGTTATGAGAATAAAGTCAGATGGTGCTGGCAAGGACTTGGCAGAGTATCTGGTGTGAAGTGAGTGCTCAGTAAAGGACACCTTTATCATCATCATCTTCATTCACATTCATTTTAGAGATAGTAGCAATTTCAAAAGAAATCCACAAATATTTCCCCAGAAGATGAGAAGGTGATCTTTCAGGGATATAAAAAATCCCAGGGGCGCCTGTGTGGCTCAGTCATTAAGCATCTGCCTTCAGCTCAGCTCATGATCCCAGGGTCCTGGGATCGAGCCCCGCATCGGGCTCCTTGCTTAGCAGGGGGCCTGCTTCTCCCTCGCCCTCTGCCTTCTGTTCCCCCTGCCTGTGCGCGCGCGCTCTCTCTCTCTCTCCCTCTGTCAGATAAATAAATAAAATCTTAAAAAAAAAAAAAATCCCAGAGAGCCTCCTCTGAAGAGTTGTCAATAGCCAGCTCCTCAGGTGACCCTTGCAGGTCTTCCCAAAATTCTGCTCGCCCGGTTGCCACCGAGCTTGTCAGCCCCTGGAGGTGGAGCACCATGTGCCAGACCCCCAAGCCAGGACCTTTGCTGTTTCTGAGCCATCCACTGAGATGGAAGGGAGAGAGGTGGGAGAGCAGGGAGGGAGGCTGGAGAAGATCAAGCCCATTCTCAGCACAAGTCATTTTGTCTGCAAGTGGGTGTTCATCGGGGACCTTGGCTCCGATTCCTTGTCACCAAGCCCACTCCCCTGAATCCAACATGTAATTGACCCCTATTGTTAGTTCTGCTCATGCATTTCCCCTGAAACAGGACAACCTTTAAGGCAGTGGTTCTCGACCAGGGGCAGTTCTGCCCTCCCTGCCTCCCAGAGGACATCGGGTAATGTCTGGAGACATTTTTCTGTGGGCACAACGTGGACAGGTGCTCCTGGCTTCTAGTGGGTAAAGGCCAGGGATGGTGCTAGATGCACACAATGCACAGGACAGTCCCCCAAGACAAAGAATTCTGTGACTCCCCCTCTGTCCTCTGGATCCTCATTAGTACTTCCCTCTGGCTTCCTCCATGCCGGGGGAAGACCTAGCTCCCTTCCTGGCACCCCTTGCCGAAAGCCCAGATTTAATATCCGGGGTTACAGTGTCATAGTTAAGAAACCCCACTTGAAGGAAAAAGCAACCCTCTCCACCCCACTTAACTCACTATGGTTATCGAGTTGGCAGTTTGCCAGATGCCACGGATTAAAAAGCCCTACCTTGAGTGACTGTTTTTCATTGGCTTGACACGGTTATGTACAATTTTATAAGCAAGGGTTACCTTCAAGATGTCATTGTTTATTACCTGGTGCTATACGAAAGTGCCACAGCTTACGACACTCCCTTTGGATGTCGTCACTTCATTCACTCACTCACTCATTCACTCAACCAACACACACTCATTGAGCTCCTTCTTACACTGAGACAGGCTCTAGGGATAGAGGATGAATAAGATATCTCAAAGTGTGTGTATTGGGGAGGAGGAAGAGGACAGATGTGCTAGTGAATAATCTCAACATCCTTCCAGGTAGAAGTCCTCATGAGATTCATGGGGGTGGGATAGCAAAGGGGGGGTGTGGTCCATGTTTCTTCTGGTGGTCTCAGAAAGCTGGCCTCTTCAGCCATCATCACTTTCTGGTTTCCATTTGCAAGGGACCTTCCTGACACTTCCCTATATGGAAAGGCAAGGGGGGAAGGTGGGTAGCAGTAATAAGCAGTTTGGCCTAATGATGCCCCATTAGGAAGACGCCTATGATCTCACACAATGCGGGGGCCCCATATAAATAAAAAATTGTTTGAATGCCCTTAAATTTCCAAATCAAATGTCCGACCACTCAGAGACAAAGAAACAGAAGGTAAGCAGGGTTTCAAAGCCTGGGAAATACTCCAAACAAAGTAGGCCAGTTCCATTCTTGTTTATTAAAGGAGTTCTTGCCAAGAAGTATGAGACCTCAGGTCTGGATAAGCCCATAAAATACCCAGAAGACCAAGACTTATACACAGGAAACCATCTTGTGATAATACAAGGCAGGACATGAGTGTATGAAAATGTCATGTAAAGACAAAGGACGTAAGGGAGAGCACCCTGGGTGACCGGCATCAAGCTATCTGGTTACTAGTCCCAACTCTACAGCTAACTTGTTGATTTGCGGCAACTCTCTTTTCTCTGTGGGTCTCAGTTCGCTCATCTGTAAAATAAGGGAATTGGACCAGAGCATCATGAAGCAGCCTTCCAAGGCACACTGAAGACTCAAACCAAGTGAAAGCTCTCATTTCCCCCTCTACTTATTCCTAACCTGGGGGCCCCTTGAGACTAAAAATGTAGGTTGAACCTCAGTCCTGAAGCCCAGCCACCTGTTGATTTCTTTTGACAACCTCAGGGTTACTGCAAATACTTAAGGAGGTGGGGAAGGTGATGAGGAAGAAGCTATTACCTCTCCCATCCCTGGGCACTGAATAACAGCACACCCAGAGGCTTTGAATTATCCCCAGGGTCCTGGGTGGCCCTTCCCCAAATTGGGGGTTCCAATTAGTGGTGGGTACTATTGCTCTAGCACCTTCCAACCACCAGGCCCTGCCGCTAGTGAGAAGAGGCTCCAGGGTTACAAGGGAGCTGGGAACGAGAGTCCCAAATTCTACTTTTCCATACTACTGCTGCTAGAATGTCAAGGAGCTGCTGGATGGGCAGCTCCTGAGTGTCAACACTCCTATCAGCTCTGGGAGTGAAGGGTTTTCTTATAATCAAACAGGAGAGGACTACAAGAAGGCAAGGTCATTGGACACCTGGAAGGACTCACCCAGGACAGAGACTGGAGACTCCAAATTGGGTCCCCAAGTACTTTGCCTGGGGAGTTTCTTGGGACAGAGGCCTTAAAGGCCAGTTTGCAATGCTGGTGGGAAGAAGTGGTTCTGGAATCTGCACCCCCCCCTCCACTCCCCGCTCCACCACCCCCTCCCCATTCCTTCCATCCTGGCTGTCTGGGTACAGATCCCAGTGGGAGAAGCCCTGGATTCCAACGCATTCCTGTGGGAAAGGAAAACAAGCCACCCACTCTGCCTTCCTCTGGACCGGGTTTTCGGAGATCAGCTCCTCCCAGGATCCCCTAGACATGCAGACTTTAGGGAGCCAAATCCCAAAGGGGAGGGAGGGAGTTGCTAATGGTCCCACCATAGAGTCGGCAGCTCCAGTCAGAGCTTTCTGAGGTTTCCCCTTCTGCAGCCCTGGGGGTGCGTGTGTGTGTGTGTGTGTGTGTGTGTGTGAGAGAGAGAGAGAGAGAGAGAGAGAGAGAGGGAGAGAGAGAGAGAATGTCAAGGCTTTGGGGCCCACGGACATGGGCTCCAATCAAATTTTCCTAGGGCAAGATTTTTGGCCTCTTAGAGTCTCTGTTTCCTCGTCTGTAAAGAGAGGGGGACACTACCAACCTGGAAAACCCATCAGGAGGTAGCGATGAAATAATGGAGGCAGAATGCCCAGCGCACAATGGGCACTGCTAGGGGCGCCTCCAGAGTTTCCGTCAGGGCACAGCCTGGAGGGAGGGGATGGCGTGGAGGGGAGAGGGGGTTTACCTTAGGGCTGCCTTCGCCGGGTGCACCTGCCGTTTTTACTCCGGGGGAGGAGGCTATCTGGAGAGGAGGCGATAGAGATGATCCTTGGGGGAGGGGGGGAACGGGGTGTCAGGGTTCCCCCTCCTCCACGGAAGATCTGGGGACCCACGGAGGGGAGCGGTACTCACCGTGTGCGCAGCGCAGGCGAGCAGCAGCAGCAGGGGCGGCCGCGACCACAGCCGCAAGCGGGGACGCATGGTGCCCAGCGCGTTCCCCGCGGGGCGGGGGGGTGGGGTGGGGAGCGGGGAGAGCGCCTCGACGGCCGCTCCTCCTGTGCGCACCCCCGGTCCGGGAGCTCAGCGCCCTCCGCGGGGGCCCCGGCCGGCCGCCGTGTCCGGAGGAGCCATGGCTGTGGCCACCCAGCCCGCGGCGAGCCCCAGGACTCCTCGTCCTCGGAAGAGGTGGCCGCGCGCTAAGCCGCCCAGCGCATTGATAAGGACGCGCGGCGCGGCGGGCGCTCCTCCACCCAGCCGCGACTGACGGGCAGGGGAGGAGGCGGAGGGAGCGCGCGGGGGGCCGCAGGCGGCTCCGGCAGGCTCAGCCCGGGGGCGGAGGAGACCGGCAGAGGGCACGCTGCCTCAGCCTCGGACGCTGCAACACCCCCGAGTCCCGAAAGAGCGCTAAGTTCTGGGGCAGCCCTGCCGCAAGCTGGCCGCCCGCCGACGGGCAACGTATGACGCGGTTTTGAGTCTCGCATCTACTGATGCCCACGTTCGGGTTAAAAGAAGCTTGAGCTGGTGCCCTGCGGACGTAGCGGGGGCTCCGTAAATGCCTATTGCATCGATCGGGTGGGACAGCTACGTGGCACTTCATTTCCAATTTTCATTTTGTGTTTCTTCCTTATTCAAGTCATACCCTCTCATTCTAGGGAATTTCATTCCCATGGGCGCCATCACACGAGCAGGTTTAGATGATCAGGTGAGAAGCCTGTGGTCCACCCAGGCGTTTTGGGGGCTGCGCTGAAGATGAACCCCTGGAGGCTTTGTGCTCCTGGTGTCCCTGAGAAGCTATTTAAGCACCAGGCATGTCTCTCCAGTAGCCTGCTCAACCTGAGTCTGAGTGCCCAGGTGACCTGGAGGCTGGCTTTTATTTTATTTATTTTTAAAGATTTTAGTTATTTATTTGACAGAGACACAACGAGAGAGGGAACACAAGCAGGGGGAGTGGGAGGGGGAAGGGGAGTGGGAGAGGGAGAAGCAGGCTTCCCCCGGAGCAGGGAGCCCG